TTGTAGGTGCCAGTAAATGACTGCAGGGTGGTTGCGGAACAACCTAGTTACTTTGCATAGTCAAAAATAGTAGATTGTTGCAATCTTTCGTTGGGTGAACACTTTCCATCTATAGAGCCTGCTATCGAATCAAGAAGCACAAGCTTAATTGAAAGTCCTTCAGGAACAAGCTCGCCGTTTTCTATAGCAAATTGACTCGACAAAATGTCATGTTCATCACTTTTATTAGGACAAAACATCATTCCAAACAAGTTGATTTGTCATGATCAACAAGCTTAAAAATTGAGGATTTGTGGAAATTCTCCGGTTATTAGGTTTTATTATGCATTTAATTAAAAACAATTCATCAAATCACAAAAAAATATTAGGCGTGTTCAAGCCAAATCCAAAATGCTAACAATTATTCAACAACTTACTGATAGCAATCACCGTTAGCTAATTACTAGCCCCTTGCTACAAATTAACGTGATTACATAATTTCTTAGCGTTTAAAAATCTAATGATTATTCAATTAACCTGGTTGGATTTTCGGATTATACTTTCTGTGGCTTGGGAAGCTTCATCCATCAAGCAATCCTCTGTCTAAAACAATTAGTAATAAAGACCTAAGATGGTCAATTTTACCAATTGATTGGGGATCCGGGGGAAAAGCACCTGAATAATTCACGTTGAACCTTTTCCAATTCTTCCAGTTATCCCAGCGGCCGAATTTCACTCGCGTAAAGGGCCGTAGCCGCAATTATTGTTTCCAACAGTCGAACTTTGGTATCGCACGAGTCGGACTTTCCTTTTCCGAGGATTTTCCTTTCTTTCTAAAGCCTCTTTACGATATTTCTAAGTTTCATTGAATTTCCCGATGGTTGCTGCTGTTCATATAAAATAACTTTAAGTTCAACTAAAAGCAAATCTTTTTTTCATCCGTGTTCTTCTTCTGGAACAAACGAACAAATGAGTTGTAATTTTTGTTCCTGTTAAAATTTAATTTCATCTCCAGCAACCCCCGAATCATATTTTACGATCCAAAGTAAACTCACTCAGTAAGCTCAAAATCACGTGATTATCGTCAAATATGTTATAGGTTGATTGTTCTGACAGCTTTTAATTATACATTTTATTCCTTTTTTATTGCTTCCGATTTCCACCTCAAAATTAATAAAATACCTCAAAATTAGGTTAAATAAAAAGAAACAAAAAGAAAAAGTTAATTTTAAAAACAATAGTTGCTTTGAATTAGCGGTAATAATGTTTACAGTCCGCCACATGCAAAAATTATCTTTCACATACCATTCATTATCATTCACATACATTTTATTATGCTGGCAATTATATATTATTAATAATATTGGTTCTCCGTCGTTTCCACTACGTCTGAAAGGAAGAAAATAAATTGGGGTGTAGGAGACAAGGTTTACGTAGTTGGTTAATGTTTACTCTGACGCTTTGGGGTGTAATAACAGACCAATCATCATTTACAGAAGAGAAACTAAATTTGGCGAAATGAAAATAAAACTGTCTTGGCTATTATTTAACTGTATCCATTTGCCTGGTTAGTTTAGTAAGGTCTGTATTTTAGCTTTCTCATAGATACTATTGGAACTAAACCCGTATCCGTAGGCGACACCTGAGAAATTAGTGGTTGGAAGTAATCGGGCCATCGCAGTTTGGCATCGTTTTGCTTTAGACGTTTCATTTATGCAATGGCAGCCGTTCAGATCTACATATTAACCTTTGGTGATCGATGATGCTGAAAATAACCCAGGATTTGAACGGTAAAATGAGCTAACTTGATGGCATAAACGCTTATGTTTTATTAAGCAATTCAAAATATCACTTTGAATGATCACCTCAAGCGATGAAAATCGGATATTTTACAAAGAAAAAACCATATCATGGATATCGATTCTCTTGACGTAAGATATGGGTTGAAAGTGATTGATTTGGCCATTGAGCGTTTTTCATCATACTGTCTCCCTGTTGCTTTGAACACACGAGGAACGCATAGTTATCGTAACTCTCATAACTTGGGGATGAGTAAGTTGGATCTTTCTGAACATATTGGTACTGGAAACACTTATGGATTTCTTCTAAATTGGATAAAAGGCAATCAAACACTGCTCAGCTGAAGTTCAGTTCTCACATAAATTCGCATTTCTACTTGTTCTATGTAAGTGTTATAACTTTAAACACCCTCCAGGACAATGGTCGAATAAGCTTTCTAAAAACGTCGAACACATACACATACGAGCTCAGGCTCATAAATAGGGTACCGTGTGTCAACCTCAAATTGTCAGAATTTCATAGAAACCACACTGGTAAGCAATACTTTCTATATGATGGTTTTCACCACTTTTTCCTTTTCGTCCAAACGCAAATATACGGAGTTAAGAACAATCAAGCCCAAGATTGGAAAGCTGTTGTACATGAGGATTAGATATTTTGTAAAAGGAATATTTAGGTTTTTATAGATGTTGTGGTTGTAAACATAGAATGGGACATTAACACTGGTTCCAATCGTTTCGTGATTGTAAAGTCTGGATTATGTAGAGATTGGAAGGTTTGGTTGAATCCCATAGTTATGTCCACATTGTTTTCAGTAAATTCACTAATTTCGTGGTCCGCTTGACCAATTAATATATTACAATTAATTAAGGCTTTTAGTTGAGATAAAAAAGTCAATGGCACGAGCGGGATTCGAACCAACGATCTTCGGCTAGATACGCGGCTGCTCTACCACTTGAGCTATCGTGACCTCGATCCACTCGGACACTAACTTCCCATCTCAACCCCACCTTATGAGTTTTCCCTCCTTTTGCCATTTTTCAAATGTCGTGTAATCGGATTGGATTCTCGAGGACAAATGAAATGGCCACGGAGAGCTTTAGTGAAGTATACTTCATTTTAAATCATTAAATTCACTAATTTCGTTGTCCGCTTGACCAATTAATTGTTTTCAGTGTTGAGCTGTGTCTGAGTATATGTTGTGTTTCCATGAAAGAATTTACACTTTATAGCAATCGTATCGCCGGTTCAGTTCTGTCCTTCATGTTGTTCCTAGTAGAATGTGAAGAGGATATAATAGATGTATAATAGAGGTAGCTTAGTAAAGGGTCAATGTTATTTTTGAGACTTTATGGTGTAAAGTTTGATTCGCCATTTTTTGAACCAAGGGTAATTGGAATTTAGGTATGTCTGGACAGTTCGGTAAGGTATAACGGTGGAGCTGTACTGCGTGAAGCAATATGTACTGAGTACAGTCAAGGGGTGAGAATACTACTCAAAGTGTCGCCCGCGTCCGCCATTTACAAAAGAGAATGAGAGGATACGTCCTAACTCTAAAGTTAAGAGGGTAGAATATCTTGAGTTTACGAAGTAAACCGTGGTTCCAGACTCGAGCGCAAGCCTGTTCTCCATAGAAAAAGACCCCAGAGCTTCATTCGAGTGAAGACGGACTCATGAATGCGGTTCAGCATGAGTTCACCGACTCGGAAACCTACACCCAGCATCAACTCCAATGAATGATCTGTTGTCTGGGCCCCAAGAACATAGGATTGGAGGGAAACGAAGAGTGTGACAGACCAGTTCCAGTAGGATCCTACCATATGAAATATAGATTGTTGAATGGAACAACAAGGCCGAGGCAGGCAATAGTTTTTAAATAAAAACCTACAGACATACTCAAAAAGCAGTTCTTGGGAATCTAAATTCTAAAAATCCCTTTCATTACAGCCTAAACCCTTTAAGCTTAACATCCGGTACAAACCTCAATAATCCTCACGTGATGTAAGAACGGCAATCGCCTAGTGACCTTAGGGCAGTGAAACCTACTCGTTATTAGAAGGTTCACTAGTGGGTGATTCTTCGCACCATAATGCCAGATTATTTTTTGTTAGTTACTTAAAGCATATAAAAACAAATACTGTTGTACAATAAAAATAAATACAGATACAATCCGCTAGATAGACAGTGAGCTGTAATGACGAAATGTGCAATAGCCCAGATTGATTGATGCAGTGCATAATACTTTTTATCCACATCAAACAAATTTATCTGTATTATTTGGAGATAGTGAGGTGCGGTCTGATGTGACGTAGGTTTAGAAAAACATTTTCATCAGGATTCAATAAAGATCGAAACTTTGGCACGATAAAGAAAATGTTTTCTAAACCTACGTCACACCAGACCGCATCTCACGATCTCCAAATAATCATTAATTAACGGTTACTAAATACCACACACATCTATCTGCATTGATACATGAGCTCTGGTAGGGACTATTGTCCTGTTCACAAGTGTCTTCTGAGGATCGATCAGATTTTAATGCATTTTGCTAATTTTGTGGCAGTCCGACGTGAGCAGATTAATTCTTCCCTAGGTAGAAAAGGAAAATGAACATTCATCAATACTAAATCCATTATGTTTAGTGGTCTGATTGACCAAATTACTTCTTATAATTATTTATTCTTTTTATAAGGTCTTGGTTGCAATGGAAAAGTTAATAATAATATTCATTAGTATCTCAAGATTACATTTCAGTATACTTGATTTCCTAATATATTTTTCGTCTACGTAATTTAAAAAAAGTAAATTTCATGTCTTTCTTATTTATTTGAAGAATTATTTTTTATGCGGCAAGTTATGTTATAAACAAAATTTTAGTAGATGGCGTGGTAAATTTTAGAAGGTCAGACTAATTAGTTTGTTAATTAGGTATAACAACTTTACAAAGACCCGTCAAGTTTTATAAGTTTCTCCAACTAAGGCGTATAAGGCACGGAAGAACATGGCCCTCTCTTGATACTTTTGTTTAGAAAAAATTAGAATTTTTTTATCGTTCGGAACAGTGCTTACTCAATTTTCCTAAACGGCCTTCTAGCGAAGTCCGAAGATGGCAGGATAAAAGCACCGGGCGTACTTTGTGCTTGGGCCACGCGCCTTGGCGTCCGTCCCCACTCGGCGGGCCGACCGCAACGCTCGGGGCGCCCTTCAGTCCCAATCAGACCTTCGCCCTGTTCGCACCCCGATCGGTCCGTTTCAGTCAGTTTTCGAATACGCAAGCTCCGAAATCTTCTTGCCGGAGGAAAAAGGCAGGATTTTTGTTTTTTAAGAGCAAAGTAAGTGGAACAGAAAAAAACAAAATTGCTGTATTCTGGCAAAAAAATAATATTGTTTTTTGCGAAATTAAAAGCACAAAATCAATAAAATTATTCAAAACAAAACCGTACATTTTAATTTTAATCAAATAGCTTTTAGTTTACATTGTACACTATGTTACGTTATATCAAAGCTCAATATTTTTTTTTTAAATAGAAGCTCGAAAATAGAAAAGGAACAGAAAATTCTTCTGTGCTGTTTCTAAATTATAATATATCCACACACTACTAATTAGTTTTATAAATAAATTAGTTTACAGTTTAACTTGCAAAAGTCATGTTTTTTTAATAAGAAATTTAATACAATCTTAAATTTTTTTTTTAATTTATAAGACAAAATGAAAATATTAAGGGACTTGTTTGGTGCAATATATAAAATTTACATTTGTGAATTTTTTTCAAACTCGTATTATCTCTAGTTATAATGTGTTCCCGATATTTTTTAACAAAATATAAACAATACCCATGTCAGATTTTTTGAATAGTGACCAAATGAAAAGATCAAATTTGTTCAAATCAAAATTGTAAAAGAGTAAAATAAATGGTACCAATAAGTAGCCCAAAATCGTATTTTTCAAAAGATTAATAATTGGAAATTTTTAAATATATATATTTTTGACTTAATGATTTAATTTAATATTCTTGGGTCACAATTATTTTACCGTTGGTGTTTCGAGAGAAATAACTAAATTGGGGCATTCTAGCAATTTTTTAGTCCAGAAATATCGAATTTTTTAAAAGATTAATTACGCAATGTTTTTCAATTTATAATATTTTTCCATTTATTAAATAATTTTACATAATAACATTAAATAATAATTTTAATAAGTGTTTTAATTTGATTTTTTTTAAATACACATTTTTGTATTTAAAAATATAACCAAAGAAATATTGTTGTTTTTGCATAAAAATATAAAAATATATCCATTATCGACAATGTTTATTAATTACTGGTTTGCAATTGTTTTACCGTGTGTTTCGACTGAAACTAAAAAAAGCACAACTAATTCTAGTAATTTATTCTCCAATATCTAACTAAAATTTATATCAAATGAGGGTTTCTGTGTTGTTTCGATAGTCTTTAACGAATTCGCACACACAGTTTTTTAATTATGACTAAATGAAAATTACAAACTGCCAGACCTAGATATTATATATGAATAAATTGTTTGCGAATTTTTATTTCGACCTCGTATTATTCCAGTTTTTGGGTTTTTAATAACTGCCAACACACATGACAGACTTGTTGAATTGTGACCAAAGGAAAAGTATTTTACCCTGATTTGTTACTTAATAATATATGTAAATAGAACCAAAAAATTAAAACTGGGTAATCTGACACCAAAAATATATGCTTTTTCTTGCAGAATTAAAAATACAGAATAAATAGTAAAATGTTTCAAAACAAGACAATATATTTTTATTTCATTCATCTAACTTCGGATTGACATATTACAATATATTGTATCGAACCATAACTAATATTTATTTACAGGAAGTATAAATTACAAAAAATATTTATGAATTATTGATATACAATTGTTTTGTCGTGTGTGTGTGTCTCGAGTGAAGCTGACAACGGCACAAAAATTCTAGCAAATATTTTCCAATAGCTAATAATAAAAAGTTATATTATGGCAACCATATGGCATTACATATGGCAATTAAAATACTTTATGGCAAACATGTTATGAACGTTACAAAATATAATTAATATTTAGTTTCAATTTATGTTGCAACCGTGTATTTTTTCAATTTTCTGTTTTGTTCCGAAAATATATGATGACAAACGTTGAATTTATTTTACAGTTCAATAAATTCAATGTGTGTCAGTATATATTTTCGGAAAAACACAATAGAAAATATTAAATTGCTAAACTAAATTCAAAATTAAATTATATTGTTCGAATATTTGAATTTTAAAAGTGTATTTTTCAAATGGTCCTTGTTTTCCTATAGTTCTTAACGAATGACAAACAAGTCTATAACAACAATAAAACTACTTAGGAATAGAGTTAACAATTCTCGCAGATTTTGGCAAAAAAATTAACTCATTTTCCCAAACCCTTCAGTTGTTTTCATTCAATCTTTATTTTCATTTTAATCTTTAGTGTTCAGTTTTTCATGTAATTTTGTTATCAATACGAATCAAATGGTACTAATTTTTTTCTACCACACTCCTTTAAGAAAGAATGTACTCATCCAACCACGCATACCATTCGAAAGCTTATTAAATTAAGCAATGCTTTGAAGTTTGCAAATCTGTAGGATATTTGGTAAAGGCGTAATGAATTTTTGAAATTCTTCAAATATATTCCAATGTTTAAACCTAAATGTTTGTTTAATTTTTAAAATTAAATGTTTGTGCCAGTGGAACGTGTATCAACTGAATTGAAAAGGCTCCGTGGAAGACATATTCTTTAGGCAGTTTAACGTGGATTTTAAAAAAGACCTCAACTTTGGTGAAAAATCATAGGTAACGAAGAAAAAGAATTTATCGGGACAAGTTCGTTTTTTCAGAGAAAATTAAATTAAAAGTCGAATCTTATTTGCCATTTATACGACATTTTCCTTCATTTACAGAACTAAACTTGTCGAATTTTATTTTATTTATATTATTCGAATTTTATTCAAGAATCAAACGTTACTGTTTGTGAATTAATGTTAGATGTGTTTGACACTATGGCTTAACATTTTCGAGAAAGACAGATAGATTTTAACAAATTTATTGGACAATGATTATATATATATATATATATATATTATATTATTATTATTAAGTTATTGTAAATTATTGAAGATGCCATTCTTGTTTTCAATTTATTATGAATGCATTTTAGGTTATACCATACCATGCTATCAGCAATAAACAAATACCACCAAAAATGTTTGTGCAAAGTAAAGGCACGGAACTAACAATAGAATGATACAAAATATAGCGTTAATTTTAATTTCAATCAACTAACGTTGATTTTACATTTTCCGTACTATTATAGTTTATCTCACAAGCTGAAAAGATAGAGAGAGACAGTGAGAAAACAGAAAATATTTCTATGCGGTTTCTAGATTATAATACATATATCAATATACTATTAACTAATTGGATAAATAAATTCATCTATTGTTAATAATATATTTTATTAATATATATTAATATTGTTAATATATATTTTAAATTTAAACACTACAGAAAATTATTACGCAAATTAACTCAAAATTGAGAGATTATTCAGAAATCGTGAGATGCGATCTGGTGTGATGTAGGTTTCAGAAAAACATTTTCTTTATCGTGCCAACGTTTCGAGATCATCTTCAGGACCTGGGATTTACAAACATTGTTTAAATTTAACAAATACATGTAGTATATGGAAAAAACATGTATTTGTTAAATTAAAACAATGTTTGTAAATCCCAGGCCCTGAAGATGATCTCAATAAAGATCGAAACGTTGCACGATAAAGAAAATATTTTTCTGAAACCTACATCACACCACCGCATCTCACAATTTCCGAATAATCATCGATTAACAGTCACTAGTCACCACACATTTCAAAATTGAGTTTTGCAAAAAAATTACAAGGTCATGTTATTTCAATTGGAAATTAAAAAAAAAATTACGAATAACCTTTGCAGTATGAGAAACACTGTCTAATTAACCAAATCAAGGGGAGAGAGAAAGTGAGAGTGAGTGAGAGAGAGAGTGAGAGAGAGAGGGAGAGTGAGTGAGCATGAAATTCTTCTTTTTTTTCAAAACTCAACATATCTACCTACTCCTAACTAATTTTACATAAATATTTTTTTTAAATTTTAGAACGCACTTAAAATTTCTTTAAATTTGACCAAAAGCGAAATGCCAAATACAATGTATGAATTTTTTTTTTCAAATTTATATTTCAAAAGGTTATTTTTATTAACCAAATCATGGTGAGAAAAAAACTGAGATAAACAAAATCATAAACAAAGAGCCGAATTTTAATCAGTTAACACCGATTTTTTTGGTAAATTAGTAAGGAATGAAAATTGTGAAACTTTATTGTACTTTCGATGGCTAAACTTAGTGTTTCGTATCAATACTTTCCAACAAATATCAAACAATTGAAGTGAAATTAATGGACTAACGTGTATGAATTATTAGTTGACCAGAGTTTTAATATCGTGTTCCTACATCTGGGACTAGGTCGAAACGTAAACAAAACAGGTCCAATTTTTGTCTCATTGCCTTCGACATCGACAGGAGTAATATTAATTATTCATAAGGGCTTTTACAAAATTATATTTGAACACATCTCGTCCCTACACTTTTGAAAAGACTAGATGAAAAATGTTTGTCTAATATGATTACAGAATGTAATCAGAGGAATAGCCGAGTTAATCGATTTTAGACGAATATTTTTAAAATGTGGCAACCGGTTTATAAAACTCATTGGCTTGATGGTAAAGCCACTTTAGAACCACCATCACTACTTTATATGAATACATGCTCATAAAATTAACGAAAATGGTTTAGTTTAAAAAAAATATTTAAAAAAACATTTTTAAAATCTTCTTTGTGTGCCTGAAATATATATATTAAATGAACTCTTAAGCCTCCAACAAATTTAAACTCGCCAATTAAAAAAAAATTAAATTTTTATTAAGAAAACGTACTCTAATAGGCCCTTCTTTTATTTTCTTTATAACAGAAAGAAGTCGAATCGTTTAAAAAATTTAAAATTCCATTTTAGTTGCAAAAATTTGTGTTTAGATAAAACTAAAAATTTTGCAAAAATTTAATTACTAATGCGCTTATCAAATGTTTACTCATGTTTGCGATTACAGCTTAAATTGGATGAGAAATTTAAGCAAGAATGTGAAAAAAGGCTAGGCATCGTGGGAAAGGTTCGGAGGGTTTGGATCAACTGGTAATCCACAAGCCCTCACAATCCTTTTAAAATTTCAATTCATTAACCTAGCGACAAAGG